TTGAGGGCCCATGTGTCAGCAGACAGTACAGGCTTGAGGTCACAGCTGGGCATGCAAACCAGGGCATCATTGATAAATAGTCTCACAGCCAGGAGATGACACGGTCCACCCTAGAGCCCGGAGACCCTAACTTTTAGCAAAGAATTTGAAACACTTACTCCTCCTGTTAGAGAGAGGTAGACTGTCCGCTTGCTCAAGGGGTGTGCAACTTCCCTGCATTCAGCTCTGCACGCACCTTTCCTTCCCCCCATGTTGCACAGTCTTCGTTTATTTATGTGCCTTTAGCTGTTTCTCTTTTGTGTCAGTTTTCAGATCCATAGTACCTGTTTATTCATTCACTTTTGAGCAACCTTTGTTCAGCTCTCCTTTTTTAGCTCAGTTTGTTCAATATCTAACATAATCCCGCAAAATGATGGTGACAATAGCAGGAGAAAAATCTCTCATTTTTTAAAGCTATTTGAGGGGGCAGAAAAACATTTTTAAAAAAATTCTCTATGACCACTAATAAAACACAGCACCAATTGTCAAAGATAAAAATATGATTCGCTTATTTTCTTTCCTCTGTAGGTGGCATTTGGGCAAGATGGAAAAAAGGGACGCTTGGTTGTGGATGGTCTCAGGGCCCGGGAGGGAAGTTTGCCTGGAAATTCCACCATCAGCATCAGAGGCTCAGTTTACCTGGGATCGCCTCCATCAGCGAAACCAAAGGTAAGTAGCAATGCTTCAGCACTGTGGATAAAAATAATTCACTTTGTAATATAATCATTATAATTATATGAGATGTTCAAGAATCTCAAAATACTGTAAATGATTTTTTAAAATTCAAGAATCACAAAATGCTGTAAATGATTTTTTAAATATCTGATTAATGTTCAGAAGCCCACAGAGAAGGTGCCCATTCCTCATTCCGAAGCCTTCGTGGTTTTTTTTTTTTTTTTTTTTTTTTTTTTTTTTTTTTTTGTCTTTTTTCTGTGTCCGGCAACGGATCGCAACCCTCAGTATCGCCCCTGTACCGGACCAGGACCGGCAACGGGATCGCAACCCTCGGTGCTGCCCCCGCGCCTCGCTCAGCCAGTGAGCGGGAACCGGTCTGTATGTGGGATCCAAACCCTCGGCGGGAGCGCCGCCACGCTTCCCAAGCGGCGCACTAGCGCAGTGCGCCACCGGGCCGGCCCCCGAAGCCTTCGTTTTTAAGGTGCAGGTTGACACAGACCGTGAAGCAGTGAATATAGGGCTTCTCCGTGGCTTTATAAACATGAATTTCTTAGCTTCTCTTCCAAGGGATGAAAAAACAGGTATTAGGTTGCAGATAGAGATTTTTGAATAAGACAGTATTTTCTAGACTTAAGTAATTTGTGGCACATTGGCCATCTCTGCCATACCCAGGTAAGCCATTTACATGGTAGTTTGTTCTCCATCCACTCACTATTTAATTTAAATGTATTTTTAAAGGATCTTTTTCTCTCTCTCATAAATGGAAACGCAGTATCCTTCACTGTAAATGGTAGGTAACCATACAAATAAATATATGAAAACAAAACAGTGTTACTGAAGTCTGGTAGATAGTGTGACCTCCTTCCCTTCATTTGGAGAAAAGGGAACTTGACAAGTGATCAGGTGTTTGAGACTCCTGAGCACAAAGTTAAAAGCTGTTCCTGGTCCTACTTAGAAGGCCAGAAAGAGGACTGAAAAAGAAATATATGTTAAATGAAAGTGTGTTTTAATGTTATTTGGTATTTGGAATAGAGTGACGTCAAGAATCAAACTTGGGGAAACGTTGGGCTAAGGGGAAAGTCACTGCTCCCTCTGTCCTCCAGGAGGCGGGGTGCTCCCCTGGATTTGTCAAGTTCAAGGGTGTGATGGGCCCAGCCCAGGGCAGAGCTCTGTGAGCATCCTGTCCCTGCAGCTTCCCTGCGCACTGCCAGAGCTCCCTGCCCCTGGGCTACTGCAGGTTTGCTGTGCTCTCCCGCAAGGTTAAGCAAAATGCTCCTGTCAACAGCTCAGGCCTGGGAACTAAACAACGCCAAATGCTCACCACCTTGCCCCTCTCCTGCAGAGCTGGTAGCACATGCTGGTGTGATGTTTGCTTGCAGTGGGGGAGGGAAGGGCCTAGACTCCAATCTGGGCCTGGAAATGGACGTAATTAAAGCTGGTCTTGCCCACCAGATTGGATCCTAAGTGTTCAGGCTGACCCAGCCCAGGCCAAGTTGTCTCCACAGGGCTCACCCTGGTGCCTTGAGTTTTGCACTGGGATTTGATCTTCATCTCCCTAGCAAGTAATAAAGTACTGTTTTGCTTTATTATATACAGTAACTTTTATATGTCTATTATAAATAATGTATAACATATCATACTTAATGTTAATTATTAATTTATTGATAATATTAATTATTAATATTAATTTATTAAATATTAATGTGTATATTAACATTAATTCCTGAGGAGGATCCTCAATGTTAATATTTGCTTTTCCTCAAACTCTGGATCTGTTTCCTTCTCAGAGAAGTCACAGGATGGGGTGGTTGTTCAGGACACAATTTGGATCTCTTTCTGACCTGGATAAACTCTCTTACCCACCCTTAGTCACACCCAGCTCCTAACATCTGGGGCAGTTGGTGGCACCCCATTTACAGTATTCTTTACCAGCCAAGCTTCTTTTTGCAGCCCTACTTCAACCTGGGAGATTAAGCACTATATAAGCCATCCTCCATGTCCTTTCAAGGGCAGGTGACACCCAAGCAAGCAGCATCTGCTTGTGAATACCAGACTTCAGAAGCCTTCAGGGATCTAGTGTTGGGTTATGGCCCTTCCTAGAGAGTCTGAGCTTGGCTTCGTTTATAGGCTCTTCATTGTACAACATCACAAATCTTAAGAAACCAAAAACTTCATAGGGAGCCTGATCAGTAGTTTCCTGTTGACACTGGCACCAAGTCTCTCTCTCTGTATTGCCAATTTTCTTTTTAAATTACCATATCTTGCGTCTATTGAGGACTCCAGGATCCTAAATGCATTTTTTCTAGAAGGGCGCCTAGGAATTTTATTCAGTCATTGTTAAACTTTTTTGAGAATTTTGTGAAAGTTACACTTATTCTCCCCAAGAGAATGCACATACAGAGAACATCTCATGTACAATGTAAGAGGCCACAGAGCCCCAGAAGCCAGGTGAGGAGCTGTGTTCCAGGCCAGCTTCCGACAGGTGTGGGCCCCGTGCCAGCCACTGATGATGCAGACCGGGCCTGATTTAACTCAACGGCATTATGATTTGTTGGTGGTGCACTGAGCCCAAGAATGTAGGAAGCTTTTGGGCACTTTATTATTTTTGGAACATTTTGGCCTCTTTTTTCAGTCAGCTGCCCTGCATTAAGCTATCACACCGGCTCATGAAAACCTATGAAGTGGGTTGTGCCTGCAAAGAGATGATGAGATCCGTGAACTGTAAGGTGGAATTTCCCCCGTTGCAGGTCTGTCTGCGTGGACCAGGAAGTTGCTCGCTTATTCCAGCACGAGCTAGCAATCTCCACCGCCCCTGCCCCCTGCACACACGCCACTTGGTGTGGTGGCACCTTCTAACTTCGACCACCCACCAGGCATCTGGAATACAGGTCTTTCCTGGCACTGTGGTCAGGAAGCCAAATGGGACGGGCAGGCCTGCCTGATTTTAGAAGTAGGAAGGATGAATCCCCACCAGCCTTCCCCCTTTTGTTGAAAACAGAATGCCCCTAACCTTGACCACCTATGCATTTCTGGGAGTGTGGGTAATAAACTCTTTCTTTTCTGCTTGGTTGCAGAGCCTCCCCCAAAACAGCTTTGTGGGATGCCTGAAGAACTTTCAGCTGGACTTAAAACCCTTGGATACCCCTTCTGCAAGCTTTGGCGTGTCTCCCTGCTTGGGTGGCCCTTTGGAGAAAGGCATTTATTTCTCCCAAGAAGGAGGTCATATCATTTTGGGTAAGGAGCAGTTTGGTAGAGTTTATGAACTCTATCCTTTGAGTCTTAAGAACTCCATCCTTTTTCTTTAATTATGATGCTTTAACTTTTTTCCTTTTCTTTTGAAAGCTAACTCTGTGTTGTTGGGGCCAGAATTCAAGCTTGTTTTCAGCATTCGCCCAAGAAGTCTCACTGGTATCCTGATACACATTGGAAGTCAACCTGGCAAGCACTTATGTGTTTATATGGAGGCAGGAAAGGTATGCAGTGGTCTGACTACACAGGGAAGGGTAAATGGAAACCAGATTCCATTTCTGGAGACCATAGATGGTGAAGTTATACTAGAGATTAGAATCCAATCTTGTATTTAAGAGACCTGACTTCAGGGCTAACTTACATTTTCCTTCAGCAAATAATTTTCTCATGTTTTCTGGTCTTCATCTTTACAATTGGGAAAATTTAAACAAGTTGAGGTGGATTCCAGCTCCATCACCTAGTTATATGACCCTGGAGAAGTTACATAAACTCAGTTTCCTTATCTATAAAATGTGCATAATAACCCTTCTATCTTAGGGCTTTTGCCAAGATTATGCAAACTGCCATATACTCAATAAATGTTCGTTTTTCTCTCCTCCCCTTCTCCTTCATCACTTCTGTACTTTTTATTCATAAGGATGGTACCAGAATGAACGGCTAGATCTTCCCACCAGCTGTCTACACCAGGTCACACCTGTGCCCATGGCCCTGTGCCTTCTCAATCAGTTTTGGATTCCTTTTGTTCTCGCTACATGACTCACCAGCCTTTCTGGTCTCTGCAGCCAAGCTGGCCACCGGGTCCTCACCCGGCTTCCTGTGGTTGTTCATGGATTCCTTCTTCAACTCCTGCTGCGTCCTCCCCGCCCCCCACTCACAGGCCTGAGTCAATATCTTATTTTCAACCACCCAGTTATATCTCTTTCCTTCTCAAAGATGTCTCTTTAAAACCAAATTCTTCCAGGAAACCTCTCTTAGTTAAGACCTCAAGTCAAAGATTGATAAGGTACCACTTTCTTTCATCTCCATCTTTCCACAGTTGATTAAATGTGCAGGAAAAAAAATCCCAGAAGAAAATAAAATGGCAAAAACTCCTAGAATACTTTCTATTGAAGTTGTAGTCTTTAAGTCTGCACAGGCCTTTGTTAGCCCAGAGAAACAGGCAGCTATCGCCTTGCCGGGCAGTTGAGACAATGTCTGGCTTTTCACAGGAGGGGTTGGGGTCTCCAGTGAGACTCTCTGGATGGGAAGTATTCTCAAGAAAATAAAATCAGGACCTGATGTCCTTCATAACTGTAGTGACCATTGTTCAGCCTGAAAATTGCCAGCACCACCTAGCTACATGCAAATTAAACGTAAATTATTTATAAATGTGCTTATTTTAGTCCTCTCACTTCATTTACCTTGATTCAACCCTTGGAAGATCCTGGAGGAGACCCTGACTTAGATAGTGGGAATGCAGGATTCTGCACAAAATGTGCTGAATGCCTGACCCCTGGTGCATGCCCAGTACAAACACAGTTAGCCTGATTAATATGTGGAATGAGAACCCTTCTGTAAGTAATGCAGTCATGGAATTATTTTAACTGGCTGGCCTTTGCAGCAGAATGTAGGCCTCCACCACGGTTTTGCCTTCCAAATTTCATATGTCCTCCTAACCAGAGCCACTGTTACATGTTAGTTGCTAAGGAGAGTTCGATGTAAAGTAGTAACCTTCGAGTGGGGCTGCTGGGGGTGGGGTTCATATGAGGGGGACCAGCTGGCTTGTTGCCATTGGCAGCAACTTCAGGCAGAGCCCCAGTTTGCAGCTTACTTGCCTGGAGGGGGTGCAGCAGAGGAATTCTTTGAAGACTTCGATTCCGTTTGATCACCTAGAGCAGGAGGGATGGTGGGAGCGGGTAGGGGAACCAATATCTAAAGTGCTCCTAGGCTGTCAGTGTGGCCACAGGTGGGAAGGGAAGATGGCAGGGGCAAGTTGGCTCCACCTGCCTTTCTGAAGGAAATAGGAAAATCCATGTGTGTTCCAGGTCACGGCTTCTGTGGACAGTGAGGCAGGTGAGACCTTGACGTCGGTCACACCAAAGCAGTCTCTGTGTGATGGACAGTGGCACTCGGTGGCAGGTATGACGTCTAGTAGCCTACTGTTCATACACTGAAACAGTCTCTCTGTCTTGACTCGAATATCCCAAACACAGCCTCAGTCCATCCATCCACAGTGCCTGATGGGGTCAGCCACCAGGTTAATGCGTCCATTCTCAACCCCAGCATATTTATATAATTCCTGGCTGCTGCCTCCAGTTCTCCATAGTATTCTGAGTTTGTTGCTGTTGTTTGTTTTTGGAGCCCAGCAAAATGATAAACTATGCTGGTTTTCAAGGTACTATAACATTGTAATTTAGATTTTGGCTCTGAAGTCAGAAAGAACAAAGGTCAAATCTCAGTTCCACCCCTTACCCTGTGTGACCTTGGGCAAGTGACTTAATTGCTCTTTACCTTCATTTCCTCATGTGTGAAATGGAGATAAAAATAGTGTATACCTCCTAGGACTGTGAAAATTAAATGGGACAATGTGTTTGAAGTGCTTAGCCCAGTGCCTGATACGTACTGAGTGTTCAGTCAGTATCTGCTCTTCTTATTGCATTGTTAAGGCTCATTACTGGCTTTTTTTTCTCAACAACCATTGAGTGTTAATGCAAATATCTAGACAAACCAATGAATGGAGAAGAAGCATGTCTTCTCAAATAGAATCTGTTATTAACTTGTGGATAGTAGTTTAGAGATATATGAACCTGTATTAGCTAAAATACTTTTTGTAAAAAGTGGTCTTTCTTGGCTAATTTGAAAGCTAACTACCTTGCAATTAGCTAAGATTGTTAACATGGGAAGAGTTTTGTCAGGGCCAAAGGTACTGTCTTTGGCATCAATTTTCAGAAGTCTGTGCCTTCTTAGAAAGTAACTGAGGTCACGTGAAATAAGCATGACCTCTGGAGACAAGAGACCAGAACTCGAGTCCCAAATCTTTAAAACCAAGCCACCCTCTGTCAGGCTCCTCCATGAGTCGCAGGCTGTTATCTGGGAAATGGGAATGACAGTGTCTTCCTCATAGACCTATTTTAAGGATAAAATTTGGCAATATTTGTGGACCCACCTAAACACTGCCTGGTGTTCAGAAGTACTTAGTTGAATTTATATCTAGACTGGCCAAATCCCTGAAGACAGTATTGCCACAGGTCCAGAAGAAATGAGTTAAAATGAAGCCGGTGGTGACACGATAGTGTAGACATTAAATAGTGGGAGGGCTCTCCTCAGGTGACAGACTTAACCAGCTTCCTCTTCCCCAGTCACCATAAACCAACACGTCCTGCACCTGGAACTGGACACAGACAACAGCTACACAGCTGGACGGCTCACCTTCCCACCTGCCAGCACTCAGGAGCCGCTACACCTTGGAGGTGTCCCAGGTAACGCTTGGCCAGACTTCTCTTTGTACATCTGTGTTGCCCCATGTCTGTCAGCTCTTGACATTTTCTTCTTAACCCAAAAAAGGCGATGCCCCAGCCCATGGGTTAGTAGCGTGGCAGCCCTTGGCTGGACAGTGGAGATGGTGAGGCCCTTTGCTCCAGCATGTGGGAGACGCAATTGCTAGCCGTGCACACACTTCAGGGCAGCCTGGGCCACACTACTGCTGCGTCCCTTGTCCCCAGCCTATAATTTATAAGCCTCTCTTAAGAGGCTGCATTAACCTAGAAGCCCAATATCAGCAAAGAATCAGGAAAAGAGCTGAAAAACTGGTCTCTTCTCTCCTGGCACTTAGTTTTACTAGTGAGTTATGAAGCTCTGTGGGGCCAGAATGGGAGCACAGGCAGGTTGAGAGTCAAGTTCAAGACTGGAATTTTGCCTGGAAAGAGGCTTTTCATTCTTCATTGTTTTATGTCCCTCCAAACAGTCTGGTTGTTAATTTTATAGGTTTTTCATGACCCATAAAAGCATTGGAGTTCAGAGTTATTATCTATTGATTTGGGCCACAGAATTTCCTCTGAAGAACTTCGTAGCTGATTTAGCACAGCGGGCGGGGGTCCACCGCCTGCCCAAAGAGGAGGAAGTGACTGAACGGCCTGATGAGACTGGGGTCCCTGCAGCTCTTTCTGATCAGACTATCTTTTAAAACTCAGGGTGCATTCGTCTGATGGTGTGAGTTATCCACTAAAAGCCTCTCCCTTTTCTCTTCCAGCCAATTTGAAGATGATGAAGCTCCCTGTGTGGAAATCATTTTTTGGCTGTCTGAAGAATATTCAAGTCAACCACATCCCTGTCCCTGTCACTGAAGCTGTGGAAGTTGAGGGGTCTGTCAGTCTAAATGGCTGTCCTGACCACTAAGTCCAGCCTATTTCCTAGTGAGGAAATTCACCTTCAAAAGCACTGATTCCCTGACGCACCTCCCTCCCCACTCAAGATCATTCTTCACTCAAGACACCCCCCGGGCGGTTTTAATAGCAAGTCTGGGTTTGAAGTCTGACCATGTACACCCATCATTTTGGCATTCGGCGCTACATATATATTTTATATAAAAATCCCATTTCTTGAAGAAGATGAACAAATTGTTATTCAGATATGCACAAAATGCTTTGGGTAATATTATTTTCCACTAAAAATCAAATGTCTTTTAAAGAACATTATTTTCCACTTGTTAAAAAACTAAATATGTTTTAAAGCACTTTAAGAATAGGAAACTTTTACATATGTTAAAGCGTTATAATTTATAGGGTTAAATAAACGCAGTGTACTCTTTAAAGTATGATGCTTTACTAGGATAAAACGAATGGCTTGATGGTCTCTGTTGATTGTATTAATTCTTCAGCACTAGTTCAATGTGCTACCTACATCACAGTTTTTCTATGAATAATTATTGAGCACATATTGGTGAGGTTCTGTGTGTGCTCAGTGTGGTAACTACAGTGAGGTATAAGAAGTAATTCCTGTCCTTAAGGAATATGCAGTCCAACTAGGGAGCCATATTATATTCATAAAGTACTAACCAACACACTGAATTAAGGAAGTCCACTGGTTTCTCAATCCTAGCCTTCCCCAGTCTGCTTACAGCCAAGTCTAGATTATGATTATCAGTTCCTTGAGGGCACAAACTATCTAGTAGGGGAGCTGAGGTGGATATATGTGCTATAACTGGTGCTTTATATGGCAAGCTAACAGAAGTCAATAAGAAGGAGAAATCAGGGCCGGCCTGTGGCTCACTCGGGAGAGCGTGGTGCTGACAACACCAAGTCAGGGGTTAAGATCTCCTTGCCTGTCATTTTTAAAAATTTTTTTAAAGGAGGAGGAGGAATCACTTCTAGTTTTACCTACAGAATAATGAATGATGTACTAGACCAATATTATTACCCAACAGCACCTTCCCTAACAGAAAACCACGTAAGCATTACTGTATCTTCTACATAGTATTTGTTCATTAGGAGGAGACTAACAATTCTAACGACTAGGTGTAGTAATCCTATATGGTATCCTTACAGATACATGTCCTCCACCTCTGAAACTAAGTCACAGTCTCCTCAACCCAATGTCCTTTTATGACTTTCACACAGCGGTCTACGAGTGCGCTTTCTAACAACTATATCTATACAAAAATGGAATGTTCTCCTGGAGAGATAGCCAGGTCCCCACTGGGGGAGGAACTCAACAGAGGCTGAGTGATGGTCCTTAGGGGTGCTATGTTGGGTCAGATGTTGAACTGCATGACTCTAAATCATGTGCTTTCTAAAAATACTGATTTTCAAATGAAAAATCCACCAGGTGATTACCGCCTGGGAGTCAAGTCTGGGTGGAGTCATCCATTTTACCTGTCCTTGGCAGGTTTGCACTAAAATGATGGTTCTCTCTCCTGGGTTGATGGTGTCAACCTAACTGAATCTATGGCATTGTTCATTAGTGTTGATTACTTGTTAGCGCTCACTAGTCTCATTATAAAGGGGCAGTTAGGGCCGGCCTGGTGGCGCACTGGATAGTGCGCCGCTTGGGAAGCGCAGCGGCGCTCCCGCCCGAGGGTTCGGATCCCACATGCAGACCGGTTCCCGCTCACTGGCTGAGCGAGGCGCGGGAGCAACACCGAGGGTTGCGATCCCGTTGCCGGTCCCCGGTCCGGTACGGGGGCAACACTGAGGGTTGTGATCTGTTGCCGGACACGGAAAAAGACAAAAAAAAATAAAAATAAAAAAAATAAAGGGGCAGTTAATTCTTCACAAATACCAGCGGTTTCCTCTCCATTTTGAAATAGCCCAAATAACAGCCTCCTACCTGCCTTTGCTGAACATAACTCCAGCCACCAGACAGCGGCAGAGAGAGCTGCAGGTGGAATGACAGTTGACGAAACAGCCCTCGGCGTGGCTGTCCTCAAATTACGAATATGTGTCCTCTGGAAAGAATGCTTCTAGCTCCTCCACTGAAACATCATGGAAATTATTTGCAAACTGTAAAGTGCTATACAAATATTATTACTGTTACGTTCTTCTTGGCTCACACAAATTGGGCTGACCTTGGGGTGAGCAGCCAAGTAGGGACAGCAGGATTGCTGGGAGACAACTCTGACCAGCTCACCACAGGTCCACTGTCAGTTCCATTGGGTCCAGGGGAGTGGGGCCTGGAAACACAGGCATGCAGGGACACCGGGTAACTAGCAAGCAATTGTGTGCCTTCATGGGCCTGCTTCCTCAGCATCTCTCAGGGCACTTGTTGACCTCATGTCTTAATATGCAGGGTTATCGAGTTTCTGCCACACGCACATAACCCCATGGCAGAGGACAGAGGCACTGGGCAGGACATGCTGACCTTCCCTTCTCCCGGACAGAAAGTGGTCTTACTTCTCCACGGAGGATTCTGACTCAGCTCTTCTCCCCACTGTTCCCTACCCCCCATGCTGCTGTCCTGCAAAACCCCCAAACCCCAACTTCTGCCCTGACAGTTTCCAGTTCTCTTTTCACCAGTTCTAACTCCAGGTAGGTCAGTGCAAGCCCCAGAAAGGCCTAATTCTTTCTTAAAAATGGGACTTAAAGCCAGCAAATGACTGGAACAATTTTCAAAATAACGTTATTTTATTGAATATAAATGGTATATGTGTTCATCACGGGGCAATTAGAATGTGCAGAAAAAGATACAAATCACCCATACTCCCACCACTTAGAAATCTATGTTTAGTCATATGTCCATTAGTCTTTTTTAATTCACATGTATTTCCTTACAAAATCATTATACCATATATGAGGGGACTTCAAACATTCATGGAAAGATTCATATTATCTTTTAATTCTACTTTTCCATGAACTTTTTGAAGTATCCTTGCATACTGTTTGCATATGGTTTTTAAAACTAGATTGTGTTTTCCCTGTCTTTGCAGAACATTCCATTCCATCAGATGAATTTACCATAAAAGTATTTAACCACTCTCCAATTACTAGACAATTGGGTGGTTTCAATTTTCTGCAATTATAAGCAACACTAGAATGAAGATGTCCTGAGATGTAAATTTATTTATTAAGATAAATTCTTAGAAGTACAACTACTAGGTCAAAGTATATGAACATTTTAATGGTGGTTATTAGCTATTACCAAATTGTTCTCCAAAAGTTTATATCCATTTACACTCCGAATCATTTCAAACTGGCCTTAGTCCCTGATACCACTGAATATAAACCTACTGAGACCCTCCCACAGTCTTCAAGACAGGGAGCAGCCATGTGAGCAAGCTGGCTCTCAGAGGCCCACGGTGTTCCAGGCTGATTGGAGCCAAAACCACACCGCCTGGAAGCATGTGGTCAGCTGATGGGTGTCTGGCTCTGATGAATGATTCTGCAAAATGCCTTAGAAGAGCAGGCAGTTTTATTGGTAGTCCCTCAGAACTGGTGCTGAGCCACAGCCAGCCAGGATGGCAGAATCTGTCATACTCAGAGACTCCAAACCAATGCCATGCCCAGGCCATGCTTCCAGAAAGGAGCAAGGCACCCTCGGAGGGTCTGACTCTATGCCACACTGTGCTTTCTTAGCGCCGCTGGACTTCAGTGGTAGGTCCAGCCAGCCGGCTTCTCCCTCCTCACCTTGGGAGTTTGCTTTCCTTGTTAGAAACCTTCATGAGAATTCTCTCAGCAAGATCCCCGGGATTTAAATTGGTAAAAGCTCAACTCGCCATCCCTGCCACCACTTTACTCCCCAACAAAGAAATCCAGAGCAGAAACTCTTTTTTCTTAACGTGGGTGATGATAGCAGTGGTGCGAAGTGACAGGTGTATCATGTTTCCAGTTTCTTCATTTGCCAAACAGTATAACTTAATTCTTCAGCATACAGGTTTTGGAACAATTTCTGCATGCCTGATAATGGAAAGCAGAGACAAAATTGGAATATTCCTGTTAATCATCCTCATGGTGAGGAAAAATATTCTCCCAAAGGGCAGGGTCTTTAGAGAATGAATACTATTTACTGGAAATGTCTTTTCTCCCTTACTTATAAAGGCTTCTGTGACCCCAAAATACAAAGTGTAACTTACCATTGCCAGAAGGTTTTATTACCTATAAATTTTGAATGTTTAGTTTATTTTACTCTACACTGAGTCCTTAATAAAATGAGACTTGGGAGTCTCAGATGGTAAAAGACCAGAACTTCTGCACCACTTGAGTCTCCATGAATGCACAGAGACAGCACAGCACATGATCACTGATTAAACCATCCCTTGCTCAAAAGGCTTTTGCTTATTAATCAGTAACTATAATTGCTTCATACTCAGGGAACAAGCATTCCTAGACAGTTATAATGGAGCTGTATATCTGGTGATGTAGATCGGCATGGTGTCCATTCACAAGGCAAACCTCAGAAGACATTTTACTATTCCTACAGGAAATATGCTTTCTCAGAAATAAAGTCTATCTATTCCTACAGGAAATATGCTTCCTACAGGAAATATGCTTTCTCAGAAATAAAGTCTATATTCTAGAAAATCAGTGACTGAGCATATCTAGCATTCAACTGCAGTGCTGTCAGCAGAGCATAATAGCCTTAACGTCCATGTTCTCCCAAGAAGGGCAATGTCCCTGGTGATGGGGAGGCCTCTGTCAGAGGTGGAAGTGCATCGTGGGACTTCTGGGTCGCTTCCTGGGCCCAAGCCCAGCTGCTGCTGTGATGGCTCCTAACAAGCCCAGCTCCCAGTGGGGTTTGTCTCTGGTTCCTTAGCTCCCTGTAATCCATCTCTTCCCACTTCCCCACAATAAGAGGAAAGCTCCCCCTCTTCAGAGAAGAGCCTATCTCTTAGAAGTCACTCAAATCCGAGCCACTCTTTGTTCCCTTGGGCCTACAATTTCAGCTGAGATTTAAACATGCAAGCTTTCTCTCGTGTGACTTAGAATATTCTAGAAGTCTGTGGGACAGAAATTACCGCTTACTTTGCAAGGCTTCTCAGAGTTAAATGACATGATGGATGAAAACATGTTATGAGAATAACATTGTGAATATTACCACCACTAACGACTCTGTAAAACGTGGAGTGGACGTGTCAGAGGTTGAATACTTCCTTGTGGCTTTAGTTCTTTCTAGGAAATATTTGGGTATTTAAATAACTGAATATTTGGACATTCAAGTATCTAAAAGTATGAAAGCCAAAGACCTAATACAGAAGTTTCCTGTTCTACTCATGTTCATCACTTTTCCTGATTTGCATTCTAAGGAAACAGGAGAGAAGTAAAATTCCCTCTGTGGTATACAGCATTGCTGTGTACATAAGTGAGATATGTTTCGAATTAAGAAGAAACCGCTATAGTAGACACT